TTTTCACCCTCTTTTTTGAGGGAAAAAGGCGTGTTATAGTCTGAAAAATACGGTACTCCCCAGGTGGGGAGACCCGGCTGGCCTCCAGCCCTGGGAAAGGGGGCACCTGTGCGAGGAGGAGGAGGAGGGCAAGACCACCTACCCAGTGGTTGGTCGACTGGTAGACGTCCCCTTCCACCTTCTTGGCGTAGGAGACCACCTTCTCCACCTGGCGACCCTCCAGGAGGGCCAAGTCAGAAGCAGGGAAGATGGCATGGACCCTGCAGGGGGAAAGGCGGCCGGCCGTCAGCAGGACTGGCAAAATGTTGGCCCAAGAGCCTGGGGAGATTCCCAGCCACCCGGGCCATGGTCGTCGCCCCCCCACACGCCCAACCCCACCCTCCCCAAAGGTGCTTTTCCAGGAGGCAACTGGAGTTTCCTTTGTGAAGACGTTTCTCTTCTCATCCAAGAAGCTTCTTCAGCTCTGACCGGAGGGTGGAGAACGGAAGGATTTATACCCCTTGCAGGCAGCCGGTCACTGGCATCCTTTCAGGGAGTCCTTGAGGCTACTTGGGGGTGACTCTGAGGACACAAACCTCCCAGTGGCCTCAAGGACTCCCTGAAAGGATGCAAATGACCGGCTGTCTGCAAGGGGTATAATTCCTTCTGTTCTCCACCGTTCGGTCAGAGTTGAAGAAGCTTCTCGAATGAGAAGAGAAACGGCTTCAAAAAAAGAAAAAACAAGAACAGTCCAATTGCCTCCTGAAAAAGGACCTCCGGGATGGGCAGCCAATGCAGTCAAATAAGTACACTATTTTTCTTTTTAAAGACGGTTTTTATCGCTCCCTAGATGAGGATGAGGATGCAAACGGGGTTTGAGAAGCTTCGACTTTAGGGGAGCCAGGAGAAAGGAGACTTTATTCACAGCCCCAAAACTCCAAGAGAGGAAGAGGCAGGAGCAGAATAAAACACAGATGACATTTCTCCCCACTGAAAACAAGGAACATCAAAGCCATTTTTTTCACTCCTTTCTTTCCCATTTCCTNGGGGGGGGGAGACATAACAGGGTCTGAATTAAAGCCAAAATCCCTTCAGTGCCACAGAAGATCTCCCTCCACATCTCTGGAAGACGAAGGGGGTGCAACGAAAGCCCAAATTGTGGGGCTTCCCACCGTCTTCTGGGCCAGCCCAGGCCCTTCCCCCACCCCCTCAGGGAAGAAGGCCCCACCGGAGCCCCTCGGCCAGGGACCCCCGTCCTCCGTGGGCATCTCTCCCAGCCCAGGCCCCACCGCAGGGCCTCCAAGGGGAGCCTCTTCTGGGGGTGGCCCAGGAGCAGCGAGGGAGGGGGGGCAGCAGAGGCTCCCGGGAGACTTCCTGTGCGGGGGGGGGGGGCCCTTCCTCTCCCTGTGTCCTTTGGGCTCCTCTGGGTGAAGCACGGAGGGGAGCATTTGGGGGAGGGCTCGCTCATCTCCCTGCAGAGCGGAGCAGAAGAGGCACCTCCAGCCCAGCTCCCACGTGGCTCACAAAACCCCAGTGCCGGAAGGGCCCCTTGAGGCCAGCCAGTCCACCCCAGGCAGTCCAAGCCAAAGATTTCCAGCTCTTCTTCAACCGTCTTGTCTCCGTCGTTTCTGGCCTCCAGGCTGAGGTCTCCCCCCCCAGCCCTCCTCCCCCCACCCCCTTCACCCCATGCCTTCGTGGAAAGACCGGAGGGCCCCTTCCTGGCACCCGTTTGCCCCCTGCTTCCCCAGTGGGTGGGTGGGTGGGGTAGGAAGGGCTTCCCAGCCACAGAAGCCCCCCAGCGCAGGCTTTTTGCTCACTGCGCAGCAGCCCCTCCAGGGGGCCCCCCACCCTCCTTCCAACCACCGGAGAGAAGGGCCTTCACGCCGAGGCCCCAGAGAGGATTCCACTCAGCACCCCCCCACCCCCACCAAGAGGGCCTGCCCTGCAGAGGAGGCTGCTCGGGAGCCCCTTGGCCGCTGCCGCAGGAGAAGCCCAGAGCGGTCAGCGCCTGGAATGGCAACAGCGGCCTTTCCATCCAAGCAGTTCCCGGCCCACAATCCCCCCGTCTCTGCGGGTGGCCTTGGCAGAGGGGAGGGGAGACCTCCTTCTGGCATCCGTATCTCTTCAGGGGGGGGGAGGGGGGGGCCACGTGTTTCCGTGCTCCGATGATGAGCAGCTCGCCCTCCTCTGAGCCCCCCCCACCTCCCCTTGGATGGAGTTCGGGGGGGGGGGGGGGGGGGGGCCCCGCCCCCCTTCCCCTCCCGCCAGCCCCCCCCCCCCCCCCTCCCCTTGGATGGAGTTCGGGGGGGGGGGGAGGCAGAGGCCCAGCCCCACTTCCGCTTCCGGCAGCCCCCTCCCCCCTCCCTCCCCCCCTGCCCTACTTGTAGGTCCAGCAGGCGGTGGCCCAGCCCGGCCCCTTGCAGAGCTCCTTGTGCTTCAGGAAGCAGCTCTGGACGCGGAACTTGCGCCCGCAGTCCTGGCAGGCGTGCAGGGTCCCCTCGTGGGTCTTCATGTGCTCCGTCAGGTGGTGCTTCAGCTTGAACTTCTTGGTGCAGACGGAGCAGCCGAAGGGACGCAGGCTGAAGGTCAGCATGATGTGCCGGTCGCGCTTGGGCTTCACGGCGAAGCGCTTCCCGCACAGGCAGCCAAACTTCTTCCCGTCGGGCGCGGACATCAGCTTGACGGGGGCGTGCACCGCCTGGCCGTGTGCTGCGTGGGCCAGGATCTCATTGCCGTGCAGGTCCAGGGGCTTCCACGAGCTCTCGGGGAAAGCCGCCACGGGGTCTGCGGAAAGGGCCTGGGGTTTCCCAGCCAAGCAGCCGGGAGCTGCGGACGCCCCGCCGGGCAGGGGGAGGTAGCCGAGCTGCCCGCCAGCCTGGATCTCCGTCTGGCCGAGGCCCGGCACCTCGGAGGCAGCGGCCGGCGGCCGGCCCGGGGGTTTCAGGAAGTTGGTCTCGGAGAGGCAGGAGGCCGGGCTGCTCCCCAGCCCGGAGGAAGCAGCCTCCTCCGGGTCGAAGTGCTCCTGCTTGATGTAGAAGACTTTGGGGGCCTCGTGGGGCGAAGCAAAGGCCGGGCCCGGCTCACTGGAGGACCCTTTGCCAGGACAGCCCCTGCCACGGCGGCGCCCCCCCTCCTCCTCCTCCTCCTCGTTCAAGACCACCTTCACCAGACGGTCAGCCGAGCCGCTGCAGATCTGGGCCTGCCGGTCCTCCTCCTCCTCCTCCTCCTCCTCCTCCTCCTGCTCGTCCAGGGAGAGCGGGTGGTGGGGGCGGCTGGACCCTCCTCCTCCTCCGTCCTCACGGGGGCCCGGGCGCTGCTGGTGGCGGTGGTGGTGGCCTCCTCCTCCTCCTCCTCCGCTGCTGCTGCTGGGGCTCTCGGTGGCGGAGGGGCGGGCTGCCCAGCCGGGGCGGGCGTAGGCGAGCGGCCCCCC